CCTCAATGGGGTCTCATTTTAAATGGCACACTAACATAAGCAGATCTATATAATTTTAAATGACAAAATATTTATTTGACTTACTCAGGCAAGTGAATGTAGCTTTAAATATAACCTATCCAAGAAGTCTCACAAAATATGAATTGCAGAGAAAAAGAGAAAATTCAGGGCTGCACTTGAGAAGCTCAAAATTACACTGGCATATTTAAAAATAATCTCCCTTTGAATTTTCTATCTTTGCCATTTTAGATATTTATCCAACATTTTAAATTACTGAGTTTTAGTAAGAAGTTTAATATTAAGTTTTTGAAGAAGCATTTTCATTTAAAGCAAAAATTTATACTTGTAATAATGAACGCTAAACAAATCTTAGGAGAATKAATCACTTCTTCACTTTTCTCACATCCCATGATTAATCAGCCTTTTCAAAATCATGAAAGATATTACAWTTATGGATGCTTACTCCCAAGAAAATTATTTCCTTCATAAATTAGAAAACAGAATTTCTCACTCAAAATAAYGTTCACTTTTGTACAACAGTAGCATTTAAACAATGTGATTTTGGCGGTACTGCAATTCTGACACGGCCTTGTACTGAGCCACACACAAAAAACTGACAAGCAGATTATTATTCAATGAGTAGGTATTTCTCATTTGGATCCAACATTTTGCAAGACACTTGAAGCCCAACATTGTTTCAAAGTAGTCATTCAAAGCTGGTGTATAAAATCATAACCTCAGCACAGTTCTGACRGGGAATCTTAATTTCCTTTAGCTGTTCATAGATCTGCCACAACAGCCTTTTCATATCAACTGTGTACCATGGAAGTGACCCAAAACAGAGGGGGAGCCACTGTAATTACTAACGTGTTAGTGGTTGTCACCTTTAGTAACTTCTCCAAAAGAGAGCTGTCAGGTATATCTAAATTCTAGTAGGAGAGAAAAGAAGTATATTAATATAAGCAACAACAAAAAAGATCCAAGCTACAGTCCACAGGACAGAGATTTGTCTTTTTTAACCTGACAGTGAATTGAAGATAATTACGCAAAATACAATGCAAAGCTGACAATTGTCAACAGAGAAACTTAGAGCAACAAAGGTCATCCCATCACAGAGTTCCTTCTACAAGTTTTTTCAGATGCACTATCCAAGGAAAACATAGCACAAGACCATTTTTCAGTCTGTTTGGACTATAAATGTACAAGAAATCATTAGCTAACATGCTCAGTTTGCATTTCCGAAAGAAGTGCTAACACATATGAGACAGTTTTCAAAACTGATGCACATTTACAAATGTCTGACTGCAAGGAAACAATTCTAGAAGCCATACATCTGAAAACAAGCTACATTCAAAAGCACTATATCTTGATGACAGGAAGCATAAAAAAATAAATTCTTACTGGAAAAATATTWGCTTAAAGTCCATCACTAATCCCTTATACAATGTTTTTGGCTGCTTTTCACAAATAATCCAAAAATAATGACAATATTTGGCTTGGCAATGAGTTATCCTTTCCCTTTCAGAATAGTATAAATCCAGCTGCATAAATCTTTTCTCAACACCCCAGTCTWATACTCTGGTGTGAGGTCCAAGCATTTCTGAAAAGACCCAGGAAGTAATTTTGGGAGCCTGCAACTCAGACTTGAGGGAATGGAAGAAGACTGCCTTGAGGACCACKTCAGCTGGGCAGCTTAGAAACACATGCATGGTTTAAACAGCAGCGCSGTGTCCCAGGATCAGAGCAGGGCTTGGCAGCACGAGCCGGGCAAAACTAGTTTAACTCTCAATATCACAATCTACACTTCAGCAAGAAGGAAGTTGGGCTAAGAAGAATATATTATTACTCAACACATTTTCAGCTCAGCCATAGTTTGGATTTTGTAATCTAACAAGAAGTCTATCCTGACAACAAATCAGATGAGACCCATAAATTGTATTATTCAACTGGATTTATGCCTTCCTTAGTGGAATTCAGATTCTTAAAACCATCTTAAATGATAGAGCAATTCATTTAACAACTGACCACAGGGCAGCAAAACTAAGAAGGCAGGGTAAGAGATAACCCACTAGAATTAAATGAACTGGGTATAAGAAAGTACAAATCAGCCTTTTGGTGGTGAGAGCAGTAGGGCTGAAGCTGAAAATCTACCACCCTTCAAAAGACCACTCTAAGAGAAAAATCAATAGTCCTTTATGAAATTTACACTGCAATAAGAGCTCACTGCAGATGAGATTTTAAGATTCTCAGAAAATGTAACCTAAAAGAAGATTTAAGTGGGAAGACAAAAAGCAGACATCAAAAGAACAGACAACCTACACAGGCACGTTCATTAGCACAGGCAGAGACATTTTTTTAAAGGTCATATTTCCAACCATCCTCCCTCCTGGGAACATTCCCATCAGCTAAACAAGAGCATTTTGCCCAAGCAAGGACTATTTACACAAGATTCATCCTAGTCCTTCCCCACCTTCCCCTTGTTTGTTTGCTCTGTTGTATGTAACACTATCTTTTACCATAGGGGTTATTTTTTTGTAAGACACTCCTAATATATGTGGATGGATCAACACTGCTGTCCATCAGTTTGTYTGCTGCTCAGTAGGAACACTGGCAGTTTACAGGTGATTTGTCTCTGTAGCTGTGTTCACCTCTAAGCTTAAAGACATGGATGATGAAAGAGTAAAGACTGTTCATCTATTGTAACTCTCTTCACCTAAACACATTACCAGATTTAGTTAAAATATTCTCAACACCTTCATGTCCTTATGGAAACAAGGAGCTTCCTGAAACCTCAGAGCATTTTTTTTCAGGGAAATCTTTTTGTCCACTCTGCTACACTGAGGATCCCTATGATGCTCATCAACAGCAAAACTCACGTTGCCATGTCAAAGACTGCCCCATCTTATACAAACCAATTTACCACAYGGAAGAGGTTAACTATCATATTCTGATTTCTTAATTTCTAACAGTGTAGTCCAAACCAACTTTCATGAAACAGCTACAATTTCATCATAGGACAACCACAATGGCTGCATTTTCTTCCTTAATGCATCTCAGGTTGACTAGGTATTTTACACAGGCATGAAGTAGGCTCTTGGACATGTGTGACAGTCTGCAAACACACTGCCAAACCACAGCCTGCAAATGCTTCCAAATACACATTTTGAAAGGCATTTATGAAACTGAGACTTGATTATCTCATGGTTATGCCTGCTTTTCAATCGTTTGTTTTCACACTTCTGCCCATCAAACACTGCTCAAATAACACATGAGCTTACAGAAATTGCTGCTTCCCCAAATTACATTGTTAAAAGGTAAGGAGGCAGGGAAAGGCGACACATCTGTGATCCAACAAATGTACTGAAAAGGTGGGGTAACAAAGTCCTTTATCTCTCACACATTTATTCAAAAGGWCAATTTATGGTTACCTAAATTCACAACTGAAAAAGAATGTTGTACGACCTAATAACAAAGCTGTATGGTGAACACTGCACACTTACTCAGCCACATTACATGGGACTGMTTTAACCTAACATTATTTGAAAACACACATCCCAAAAAAATAACTTACAGGATGTGGTATTTAGTTCTACAGGCTTCTTTCTACAGAACATATTTTATCAAAATAAAGATCAATGAGATAAAAGTAATAAATCTTTTCTCTTTGAGGCCCAAAAATAAATGCAGACACTAGGATTTTGTAAGAGTGACACATTATACCTAGAACTTCTTCCAAGCTACTCCAGATCATTCTGTGCTAGCATTTTGATAACTGAATCAAATATGTGAAAGCAAACAGTCCAGTGAAGTAAATTAGGAGTAAAAGTGGGAGTATTTAAACCTAGTGASCAACTTTCAACATTCAAATGGACTGAAAATTCTCCCATTAAATTAGTAAAACCAAAATTATTAGCACAGGCTAACAAACAGAAAAAAAATATATGAGTTAACCATTAAAAAATTACCATGTAAATTAAGATACGGGAAAAATAGTAATGATAAAATGCTACATGCTGATATTACAGAAAAACAGTTTTTGCAAGAATAAGCCTTAGGTCCAGTTTTGTTTACACTTTCAATAAACACATGTATCACACTAATGAAAATCACTAATTACACTGAACCAGGAAAAACTGGAACAAATAAAAAAGGGGGGACAAAGGGGAACAAATAAAAATAATTTACTACCCTCTGAGGTCTGAAGTTSACAGCATGTAAGACCCAGGATAATCATGAAACAGGAATTAAGTCTCTAGCTGCAAAAGAATCGTAACAACATACTGAAAGTGAACAAACTTGAAAAGCAGCAATGCTCAAATGTTATTTAAAGCAGTTGTCAGAAATAAAGAAATGCRATTTGAATTTGTCAGACATCAAAAGCTTGGCCTTCCTACACAAAAGCATCACATTATAGAGGACAAACCCAATCAAATAACAACCACACTTAACAGATGACCCTCAGACTAAGTGCAACAAATCATGCATGTGGAATGGTGATATGGACACCAAGATTTGGAGAACTGAGTTTACGGGATGAAAACAAGAAGATGTTGTGCAAAAAAAAGCAGACTAAAAAAGTAGTTTGAAGAACCCTGAACGGAATGAAAATATACAGGTGGAACCAATGAGTGCATACAGGTTCCAAATAACAAGGACTATGAGGAATATGTAAAATGGCACAAAACATGGCTTGGAATACTGGCATGAAGTTACAAAAAAGAGCTACTAAATATCATGTAAATCCTCCTGCCAGTGAGATGTAAGCATTGAAATAATCTTTAAAAGGAAGCCTAATTGTTTAGAACATATAAAATCCCACTAGCCAAGACAGTATTAGAATGCACACATCTACAACCCTGCTTCAGCAAGCAGATGGACTAGATAACCTAAATAATTTTTTCAACCCTATCTCCTATGATGAYGTTCAGAAGATCTGACAGGCTCATGCACAATACCCTGCAGTCCTACAAGTATGTGAGCAAGTACAGTAAAAAGACATCAATTATGAAGACAAGCACAAAAATATATATATTCCACAACCTCTTTGTAAGGCTACATTTGTTTTGTTTTGTTTTTTAAAGGCACCTCATCCTCYAGCTACTGCCAGCTTTTAAAAAAATCACTTTTCAGTTTGAGCAACAGCTCAATAGTGAGAAGGAAACATCTTTCAATTCACATTTGAACAGCCACTTCTTACATTCCAATTGTAATCAGAATGACAGTCTTTAAAAACAAGCATGCTGGCCTATTAGTTTTTATGTACAGCAATTTAAACAACTGTGACTACATACTGTATTGTGTAAGCAAAAGCACAACATTCATTTCATACTCACACCATTATCCTTTGTATACACAAACTCAAGAGAACTCTTAATACTAAAACATTAAAATGCACTCATGGAGTCTTCCCTTACTAGACACATTTAATACATGTTTACAATATATATACACATATATAATATACATAACTTTTAGAATTTTTCAAATAAATCTTTGTAATTTTCTCTTCAAAAAGAAATAAAACAATGACACTGAAAGAATATGAGTCAAGTACACAGAACTCTCACAAAGTTGAATGCTCAGTTTTGCAGCCAAGTTTCTTCCTTTTCATCATAACCAAAACATTTTATAAAAACTAAATCATCTGTATTATTATTGTAGTCATCTGTTTCATGGCAAAAGTTCTAATCCTATCTATGGAAATATATTGCATATCAATATCATGAAGTGACATATCTGAATATTCTGAGCAATAAAAGGTATTCCAGGATATTTTAGCAGTAGATATAACGTGTTGCAGGCTCAWACAGCACAGGTCAACCTTTTATTCTAAATAATATACTTGATTTAAACTCTGAGATAACTTCAAATGTGGTCCCATCCCCAAATGCCACTCTAAAAACAACACAGTCAAACCTTATGTTGATATCTTTCAATGACTCCTGCTTACAGARTGTCAGTTTAAAGGTAAAGATTTACGTATCAGTTTCCAGTCTTAACCTCAGGCTGGTATATGAAGAGTTGCACTGGGCTCTTTCCTACTCATATCAGCACAGAAAATCAATTCAAGCGAAAATTCTGCTTTCCATTCCCATCAAAGAAAAACACCAACTTCATGCTTATGAATAGTAATAATTCTGATGATGACATATAATAGAAAAGATTCCACTCACCTTCCTTTAAGAASGGATAAGCAGACTAAAAGGTTGAATTAAAAGTTATTTGTCAAATCAACAGAGAAGCTCYGAATAAATAAACAAAGCATATCTGTTGAGTAATTACCAGAAGCTCTCATTCTTCAGGTAACCCAATCAATGGCACATATAGCCAGTGAAGTGGACAAGTTACAAAGTCCCACAAATGGTGYAGCTGGGAAATACCTCGAGCAGTAGCAGAATCTGTCAAACTGATGGAGCTTTGCATAGTTTCCACCTATTCCACTAGCAAGAYTCATACAAAGCATCAGATTTATTCTTCAAACAAATTATGCTTAATGCCCAGAATGATACCCTTTTTAGCAGGAACAGAAAGAGGATATGAATGTTTGATTGCTAAAATTGTAGGAYAGCTTCTTTGGAAAGCTTTGTGATAATTTCTTGTGCCAGATCTCCACAAATAAMCAGCATTAAAATCTGAATAAGTTATATTTGCTACTACAGTATATACAGACTGTGTCAGTCTGTTGTTAATTGGGATTTASACTAAAGGCTCAGCTTCTAGCCATACGCTAAATACAGTCTTTAAAAAATTATATAGTTTTTTTGCAAACTACATATTTACTGAGAAACAGAAGATGTAGCAGAAACTTTACTGCATTTTAATTTATGTTAGTAATTTGCCTTCCTTTAATTGCATTTATCTTAGGCTAGCAGCCASGTGGCTGAGATTAACTATCTGCTACTGCTCTCTGAACAAGATCTACTTCATTCATACCAAAGGGATGACAAAGTGTCTCTCACATGATACAGCAATGAGCATGTGAACTGCCTTTGAATCACTTTTTTCCAGGTGATTTGAGTACATTAAGATCCCTCAGTGAGAAGCAACTTAGGAAGTTTCCCTCTTTTCCTACTCCCTGATGCAATTAGACCCCTGCTTCCAGTACTCCATTTTATTAATAGAGAATATGTAGACCTAGTTTCACCCAAGGCCTGCCTGGACGAAAATTCACACCCTCTAAATAAAAGCTTTTTTTTTTTTTTTAAACTATTTGAAACTGAGAGATTCCAAGCTCTCAGCACCAGCTGAGCTCACAGAAACCAGAACAAACGTCAATTTAGAAAACAGCACCCTGCAAAACTAAACACTTACAAACATTCTCTGAATTACAGGGCAAGATAAAACAACTCATGCCCTCTTCTTCTCTTTTGTGCAGCTGGTTAAATATATACAAAGCTAAAGTTGAATGGGAAGCACTCTGTCATACAAACACTTTAGCCAGGGCATCTGCTCCTGCACTGGCAATATAACATTTGGATGGGTGGAATGCCACATCATGAATGGACTCATCAAATTTTTTGCGATGAGCAGTAAATTCTTGGATGCAGGTCTTGCTTTCAAGATTCCACAAGCGAATCGAGCAGTCGTGACCTAAAGAAAGGGGAAACAGTTCTCTTTATAATTTGCATGTCTGCCACCATTATGAGMAAAAGAAAATGAAATCTGAATGTACTTACTGCCAGACATCAAATATAAGCCATTAGGATCAACAGCTAAACTTGTAACTGCATCTAAGTGAGCTACCATGGAGTGGATCAGTTTTCCTTTGAAAGAAAAGATTTATTTAGGTTATTTTCTGCAATTAACTTTGTTACCTGTATTCACTGCTGATGACCCTACCATAGCTGATATTATAAATACAAAAAAGATCTTGTCCCATGACTCAATCATTAAAATTATACAAGAAGTAATTCTTTTAATGTTTACAGTTCCCAAGAATCACAGTAGCAGTATATTTTCTGCAATTAACTTTGTTACCTGTACTCACTGCTGATGACCCTACCATAGCTGATATTATAAATACAAAAAAGATCTTGTCCCATGACTCAATCATTAAAATTATACAAGAAGTCATTCTTTYAATGTTTACAGTTCCCAAGAATCACAGTAGCAGTATCATCAACATTTTTGAAACCTTTGCATTAAATCACTCTGGCACTGCAATCACTGTGCATTTTAAATACCTGCCCCTTAAGCAAACTAAGYGAGTTCTCAGGTAAGATCTTGAATGGGAAAGAAGGCAGGGCATTACTAAAAGCAATGAATATAAACAAAATAGGAACAGGGGGTAAGTTTAGTTGTCTGAGAGAGAATTCATGTTCTTTTACAGCTTATTAAAATTACTGCAATGATTTCATGTTACAAATAAGAAATMGAGTTAAATAAGGCAGAGGTCTAAGAAGCACTAAAGAAGTGCCAGAGGTTCCTGCTCTCAAGATCCAAATAATACAGACAACCAATAGAAGAAACATAAACATAAGAACAAGAATATTTTGAAAAATATGCCTTTTATGTTAAATATTTATAAACCCCATTCACAGGGCATTTTAGAACAGACAGAGATGCAGGTTCTTTATCACTCTGCCAATCAAGCTTTAACTGGGCTGGCAATCCTTGGACTTTACCAGTTGATGAGAGATTTTTTTCTGTTGAGGCTATCTAATTCTAGACATCCCTCAGCATCTRTGTGAATAATATGGACCATAACAAAATTCTGAATATGATTTACATTACATAATGGCTGTGGTAAGACCTGCAGAAAAGAAGCGTACCTGTATTGTTGTCATAGAACTTGATGTGTCTGTCTTCATGAGCAGTGATACTAATTGGAAGAGTTGGATGGCTGATGACTCTGTTTATCTGACAGGAAGAACTGACTGCTAAGAAAAAACCCACACATATCAGTACATGTAAATTCTTTGAAAGACAGCTACTAAGACATAAGTATGTAATCAATCTTACTTGCAAAATACTTCTTATATATATCCAGGAAACTCTCAGCTAGTAGCTTATGTTATGCACTTTACAATACTTTCCAAACTWCACAGGACAGAGACATACCTAAACCATATGTCTGCCAAATAAGGTCCAGCTTTTGGACATGTTTTTTTTAGACAGGTACATCAGGCAAAAATATGAAACCAAAAACTGACTGAAAACACCCTTCTTGCAATTTCCTTGCCCTGCCACATTCCTCGTCTTGTCAAGTCCATCTTTCTTCATAACATACAGGACAGGAAAATAAACACTGCAGGCAGTATGCTTCAAGCAAACAAAAATCCACCTATTATTATTTGATATATGTGGACTGAAATTATTATTTTAAAAAATATATACATATATAAATATATATATATATACACACACACATACAGACAGAGACACATACACACAGAGAAAAAAGTCCAGGGATTTTCTGGTTAGAAATCTAGGCATTACTGTGATGCACAGGTTAAATCAAGAAGGTTCTTAAGAGGCATAGATTATGACAAAACCCACAAATAATCACAACACAGAATATCAAAACACAGATATTGTCTTTCATGTTGACTGTGTTGAGCTAAATTGCTTCCAAAGAACGTTCCCATCATTTAATCAGAATTCTTACTAAAATAAACAGAATACTACTGAAGATTCACTTGCTATCAAAATGGTAAAGATTTCATTTTACACCTTTCTACAAAAATCTGAAACATAATGCAGTGTCAGCATCCACAGGACATTTAGAAAATACTAAAGTATAAATAAACAAAAAACCCCACATTCATATTAATAAAATCCCCTAAAATTACTAAAAGCACAGGAACCTTCATCACAGCCAGCTATCCTCACAGTTTGAAAATGCCAAGCAGAATGAGTCTTATACTGAACAGCATAGTGCCTAAGTAGTGGTGGCAGGGCATTTCAGGTGACATTTTCCTCTTGCCTAGTTCTTACAGAAATAGTATTTTATTTCTTCAAAATACACGTAAGCTTTATAGTACTGTTACATAACTAAAGATACTAAAGAGGGACTGCTGGTTGCCATACCACGCTCTCGTTTTCCTAAAGGAACACCACAGAATTACAGCAAGGAGGAGGTGAATACAAATAGAAGGGGGAAGGGGAGGGGAGAAGAAAGGGGGCTTCCACTGAACACCATTWACTAATTTAGGAGTGTTTTTTTCAGACAGGAAAAAGAAGAAACTCAGCACAGCAAGGAATAACATAAAGAGAAATGGCACTTTCCATTTCCCCTTATAAAATGACAGTAATTTAAATATTTTAAAACATACAAGCAAAGACAACAAAAATGGCTTAGTCCTTTTAAAAAATGTAATTAAACACTACAATTCAGTGACATAAACCCCTAGGGGTGGGTAAGAAATATCAAAATTTTACAAGACTCGGTATTTTACCATTGTGGCCGGAATAGGAAACCTTATGCTTCAGCTCATTCTGATCTCTTTTGTAAAGTGAGGGTAAAATAATTTACTGATAGCAGRCTCTTCACAGTATCCTGTAAAACTTTCAATATTGGCCACTGCAATGATCCAAGGTATCATATGAGACCTTGTGACTTTCACTGGAGCTTTGCTTTCCTTCTACAGTGAAAATTTCAACTAAAGCCCAAGACCAAAAGAGCCAAGGGTGTAATAAAGCTTAGAAGATGGATACCTCTGAGGAAAAATAAAAAGAATTGACACATGCTCATAAATTTTTAATGAATTCAACTTTAAATTTTCCTGATATTGCCTGTATTTAGCAATTTTGGAATGCTAAATGGATATACTGAATCTGCAAAGATCACAAAKTTGTATTAAAGAAACCTGTGCTTTTCCTTGTGCTAGTGTCCCTTGAAGAGGAAATCAGACAGTGTGAACTCGTTTCTTCTACCTTATTTCAATGGCATGAACACTCCTCTGCTACTGAAATACCTACGAGRTCTGTTGTAGTAATAATTTACTGCTGTGTCTCAAAACATAACTGGTAACATAATTCATGTTATAATTTCTCAATGACACTGCCTAACTGTTTGGAAACACTGAAAAGATTACTAACAGTATCGATCTTAAACAAACATTTTTTTGTTCTTTGGTTGGTTCAGGGTATTTGATACATACTAGTATCCACACTGGACTCCAGGGTAAGAATTCGTTGCCGTGTCTCCATGTTAAAAATGCTAGTGTGTCCACTGTTAAATGATGCTACCATGAGGCTTGGGTCACTGCTCACAAGATCTACTGATGAAGGGATTCCCATTTCTAGAAAACAGAGTAGAGAAGATGTAGTTGATGTAAGGAAAACAAAAAATTAAACAAAAAACCCCAACCAGTATGCACTTCAACATCAAAAGGATCACAGTAATAAAAGGAAATGTTGCATTCTAAAATATAAACTATACCAATCTAAATACCTTGCCCTGCATGATCACTATTTTATTCCTATTTTTTTACATGTGTATCAACAACACTCATATTAAGATGCTGCATCTGGAACTGCAGCAGGACAGAAATGTACTTTGAAATTAAGAAAGTAAGAATTTCCTGGCCCCTTTTCCTTCCTTTAACTGCAACAGCAGTCCCCAAAAAAAACCCCACCAAACTGCATTGCTTCAAGTAAAATGACATGAAATTGAAGTGGTACAACAACTCACATGACAGATTATTAATGTTGCAATTATTAACTTGAAAAAAAAAATGAGAGCATCGCAGAAGTTCTCCAGGTGCAAGTATTATACACTGACACTCTCATCATGCAAAGTTATACAAATACGTTATACACTTCCATTTCAAAGCTTTGTCCATCCTGCCTATTGTGACATGTATTTGATCTCATTATACTCTAGCTATCTACACTACAGGACACAAGGTCAAACCAGCAAAGCCTGGGCATAGGATACATCCCTTAGGATTTTTTGCCTCAAATGTCCTATTCACCACCTGCTGTGTGAAAGAACAACACCAGTTGCAACAGATGCCAGGAGGAGGAGGAAAAGATAGAGTGAGAAACTGAATTTTAAGCAATCTAATGTTGGATCATAGATTCAGATAAGACAGGAATATCACCATATCTCTGTAAATTCTCGAAAGATTCATGGGAGAAGTATTTTTCTGAGACACAGACCTCAGTGATTTCTCAGGAATGGCGATACTTGTCTACAAGTACTCGAAGAAAAGCCAAAAAGGATTGATGTGAGAAGAAAATGYGTTGTTTCTCAAGTGACCTTTTCTACCACTGTCATGCATGCTTATCTGCTTCCTGGTAAGCCTACAATGGTTAATCTAAAGAAYTTAAATAATGAGTGATGGTATTTCAGGGGGTTTGTTCAAGGTTATCAATAAGCTGTAGGAAAACTGAGTTTTCTATCTTTGAATTTCACAACTGGGCTTCATTCCAGTTTACAATACAAAAAAGTCCTAATATTAGTTCTGTGAGACAAGACTACTCCCCCTTCCTCCATAGTTCAACAATGAGAAACAAAACAATTCACAATAAGAAGCCCCAAAACTCTACCAGGAAGTTTTCAAAGCAGGMAGATAGGCAAGCTGGCAATAAGCCAGTCATGCTTTTCATACAATCCTGCAGACCTTTGGAAACATAGTTCTGAAAAAACTAAAACACACAAAATGTTTCTATTTTGCTCAGTCTGTTTTCACTAACAAGCAATGGCCTATCTTGACCAGCTTTACACTATAATTCAGTGAGTCTGTTCAGTTATGACAAAGTTTATTTTGCCTCCGAGTTTTTCTGAAAAGACAAGGAACTGTCTCAGCTCATGGGCTACCTTTAAGGACCATCTAAGAGAGTTTGGCAATGTCAAAGAGCTCATTCTGGAGCACTTACTCTGACAGAACTTCCAGAAATTAGATTTTAACCAGTGGGATTTTCATTTGCGCATGGCATTTCAGTAACTAACTCCAAAGGGGTATTTTTTTTCAACTAGCAGTGTTTAGGATCACGGGGTTACTGTTATTTAATGTGCCAACTCAGAAATTCAATTAGAATTTCTGTGTTAGAGGCAMAAGGAACAAATCTGGAAGGCACAAYGACACTGGGCATGAGGTGACACACYRGCTACTCCAAACTTCCACAGGSGAAAGAAAGGGCTTTTTATTCTGGACAAACTAACAGCAAGGGCCCARTGGAAACTCAGGTTTGAATCTGAATTATGAAGTTAATACATTATAYTCCATGGTAACATCTACAGACTAAYTGCAGCAGTTGGCTTTTAGATGTATCTGACTGTCCCCCTACACGTAGGTATAAATTCAGCTAATGTGAAAGAAAGGTCACAAAATTYACTCTTCCCAAAAAACATTCATAAAGATATAAAACTCAGAAAAAAGTGAAAGAAGTAGAAGGCTATTCAGTAGCCAAAATTAGGTCAGTCTGAACAATGATGCTCATGAACTTTAAAGGTAGGCCTATTTTCTGTACCTTGATTATCATTAAATRTATTGAGAGCTGGAGCAATTTCCGTAGCTTTCCATAAACGTATAGTGCCGTCTGCTGAACACGACAGCAAACGCTGGTGCGCTCCACTGTAAACCAGACCCCACACTGCATCTGTATGGCCYACAAAAGCACCTCTTAGAACAGAAGGATCTGTGAATAAAATACAATAAAACACATTTAAAAACAAAATCTGAATTAAGACAATAGCTATATCTTAGTCTGTGTTTATACACCAACCTTTGGAAGACAATCCATATAAAACTGCAAGATCAATCACATCATATCAAGATAGAAGTCTCARTCATTCTAGCATTAAAATGCTTGAATTTCAGCAGCATATGTGACATACAATTACCCAGTTTACCACTAAAGGAACAAAATAATGCTTCAGCAGAAGGGACAGTACTGAAGTTGGCAAAACCMTTTATCATTAAAATTCCCTTTCAAATGGCCATTAATGGCGCAGCAGTCCCTTTTATGCAAAAGTTAGCTTTGAGGCCAACTAAGCAAAAAAAAAAAAAATCTTAAAATACAGATACAAGGCTGATATCCACTCAAATCTGGTAGATTTTACTGAACTGGGCCTTTTTAGCCGTYTGCTAAAGAAACATTAACAGCTTTGGTTTCAGACTATAAAATCTCKTTTTAGCTCAATTCCACAGAAATTTGTCAACGAAAAGAATACTAAAATAACACTTCCTGTACTTGCCAGATTACCAGGCTTAGTCCTGTACTTTTAAAACCTGCACTTTAACTAGCTGTTTCTCAAAGCTGGGATGAGATCAAGGCCTTTTTTAAGAAAATGACATTTTATCTTGCTATCAAGCAGCATCAGCATTAAAACAAAAAGTTACTCTAAGTAATTGAAGATAACATTCAATTTGCTCTTTTAAACTTTCATAGAAGCATTATCTACAAATTACACTCTTTTAATGTAAACTTCTCATTTCACTGCTGCATGCACCAGCAACGTACCGTAAGAGTCATAGGGGTCAATGTTTGGGTTGGTYGTGTTCCAGCCATGGATGAGGCCATCCGTTCCCCCACTGTAGCACTGCTCACCATTGCTGCTCATCACCACACAGAGCACCGGTCCACTGGAAGAAACCCCCAAAGAAATACTGACTATTAACATTTTCATTGCATGAAATGCAATGTTAATCGTCAGAATCTTCAAATTCTGTGTTAAAATACAATTCACGTGATTGCAAACAAAAATTCTSCATAATGAAATCACATGCTGCAACATTTCTCACATAAAAACTCTCCACAATATCTGGCAATACAACTACAATCAGGACAACTAATCATTGTGCATACAAAATGTGAAAGGCATCACAATTTAAAYTGTAAGTTTTTTAATTCTGCCTAAACAGTTTTTTTCTTTTTAAAAGATTTAAGGCTTCTTCATTAAATCATTTCAGTAGATTTAAATTAATTGCATTCATTCTTCTTCAGCTTCATTTTACATGTGCAAGTACCTGGCAAAAAGGCAAAAGCTGCAGTGATGACCAGAACACCAAATCAAATTTTAACTGTATAATTTGTAGGTTATTAATTTTAAATTGTRGTGTATCTGATTTCAGACATAAATAACCTTGCTGAAAGGAGATCAACACATGAAGATACTCTAAACGACATGGGAACTAAAAGCGTCATAGGAAAGCAGTAGCTGGCAAGGTGGAAGTTACTTTAAAAAAAGGTTCTGTTTCTATTTAAAAATYCTATCTTTCTCAAAATATGACAGGAAATATTTCTCAGGAAATACTTACTTGTGTGCTCTGAAGGTATATATTGGCTCTACATCAAGGGAAGCACTCCTAAATGAAGTACAAAAAAATGTTAACATGTATACAATCTTACACAAATTTTTACAAAAATGTGCCAGAATCACTAAATTCTTAACATCACTGCTACATCTTTGGCAGTGTTTCTGCCACAACTTCCTCTCCCGACACAATTTTTCACGTGTCTAGGAACTATCTGAACTTTCAAAATACGACAGGATTTGTTGTTTGTTTTTTTGTTTAAAAACTTTCAAGGTAGGTCACAGATCCATCAAGCCAGCAGGCAGGTACATCAATGGGAGAGGAAGGAGTGGAGAGATATCAGCATTACATGGAATGCATCTTTAAGTGTTCCTATCAGAGCAAAGGAGTTTTGGACTCCTAGTTCTTCTRTCAACACTGAAGCACTTCAAAATTTGCTGCCCTGGACTTTACCAATGCAATACTTGTTAGAGACCACAGGGGCACTCCATGTAATGCCCAGTCCTCCTCAAAGATGTGACCTACTCCCATGACCACATCAGCCCCGCTACAAATTTCCGCTCATTTCTGCAAATTCTCAGCAATTTGTAAGAGACAGTGAACAAAGGAACCTGGCAACATCTCAGAGTTTGAAGCTGTACACATGTATATGCATGTAGGTGTATACATACATATGCATATATATATAAATGCATTTTATACATTTATATACACATGCTAGCACACTAACAGGCCGCATCCAAATATTTTCACTAGTAAATTAATTTCTCATGTTATCTACAAGGAAAATATAAAAAAGTGAATGGTTTTCCTTTTCACAAACAAAACACATTCATGAACACACATGGATTTTTTTCTGGCATTCTTTAGGCATCTCCACCCTTCTCTGAGAGCTTGTTTTCCTACTATTAAATTCAGAGAACACTTTCCAATAACTCCAAGGGCCATCCAGTGAAGTGGTATCTAGAATTTTTTTTTTCTTCATAAATTAAAATTGGTTTTGAAGCAAAGAAAAATAAATCTTACTTTTTTGCTGGGGCTGTTTTTTGTAAATTCCACATTTTTAATGTATGGTCCTCTGAAGCTGTTATTAAGACTGGTTCAACCGGATGAAAAGCGAGACCTCTTATTCCATCAAAGTGACTTCTTAACGTAAATTTGGGGTTCCAAGTCTTTCTCAATGCATCCTTATTGTTGGCTATCTAATAAAAAAAAATGCCAAACTTGTAATTAAGCTGGAARGCACAACAAAAAGAAGAAATCAAAAATTCAGTTTGGCATTTTCAAAAGATGTCAAATTACCTCACCCAGTTTTTGGAAAAACCTGCTCTTGAAAGACAGTCCACTTAACACTAACCAGACACTTCAAAATGAGAACCAAGGTAGATGTATTCCATACAAGTAATGTCACATCCACAGTAATAAATTCTGTAAAAATCTGAAATACTCCCATGTCTGTAAAATTACACACTTTAAAAGAACTGGTACCTCAATGAACTCAGTTAGGTATTTGAAATTTAATCAATACCTACCAGTTCATTCACTTACAACACTGGGCTTGACTCACCAAGCTGCAGTCCCTAAATAACCAAAGAACTACTGACATGGGACCTCTAAAGTAAAGATCTGAGAGAAACAGAGGAGTCTCTAGGTGCACAGAAAGGAACACAACTGAACTTAACCAGCTAAGGCAACACAAGGTCTGTAACAATGCATGACAAGTAAAGCTTCCCAGAATAGGAAGAAAAAAAAAAGGCTAAAAGGACTTGGGAACACACTAAGAATCTAACTGGCAGGCAATACGCTATCATGCATACAGACACAATTATTTGGCAATAAATGCATTTTAGAAGATCCAAAAAGAAAACATTTAAAAAAATAACAGAATTTCTGTATTGTTCCTCTTAAGAAATAATTACACAAAATGTTGAACAGACTTTTCCTTTGTCAGTCAACAATATCATGATTTAAATTTACCTTTCYATAACCACTGCCGATGGTGGTTACGGACAATCAAGAAAACAAACAATAGTATTGATGTTTATTATGTTGAAATAGACAGGTAAGTCCAAATAATTTACCTYTTTAACTGCAAAGAAGAGACAATTGTTTTGAGCCACTTCAGATTTTATTTTGGGGACTCAGGAAGAAGAGGAGGTTGAAGAACAGAAGWGCTTTTTTTAAAGCTTTGTTACATCTGGACTTAGTAATGAAATATGCCTCAATTAAGAGGTTCTATAGATTTTAAACRAGGAGAAAGGAGCCATAACAAACAGCAGGTTTAGTCTCACCATATTTCTTAGTAATGACATATTGCCTTGCCCAGGGAGACAAGTCAGTTTCTTTGCCAGTTTACTGAGCCAAGTTGGCTCAGTGAAGGAACAGACAAATGCTCGAGCTGGTACAAGGATGGGCAGGACTGCACAGTTAGCAGCACTCACAGGTTTTCTGAAGACTGGCCAAGAAAGTTTCAGCAAAAAAGGTACAAGATGTACAGATATCTGGAGARGAATTTAGTTGCCTCTACATAGGCACCTAATGCCAATTAGGTGATGGAGGGAACCTGCCTGTTCTCCAGCTACCATGCCAGCAGCACAGGTTCTATGWCACATCTGCAAAAGCCACAAAGAAGGCTCAGATGGCCCAACAGTGAATTCCAGTTCTGGCAGGATAGTATTCTCCATTTGCCTGTCTTTCATTCAAAAATGTYCTTCCAAAGGAGTCCAAGATGGTTTATTTATAAATTGGGAAGTAGACAGAGGGCAGACCAAGCCAGCAGAGCAGCAGCAGAGGTGGAAACAGATTCTAGCCCTTACACCCACCTGGCTGCACCACATCACTCTACCCACCAGTCTCACAAGCTGTGAGGCTGGTWACTAACACCGCAGACAACATCCTTATCTTTCTCCCCACCAAAGTGTAACAGCGAGGTAATCTGAGGCCTGAAAAGCAGTTTGTGGGGATGTCAACCCCAAAACTAGAACCTGATCTGCATGTACCACTAATAATAGTATTTTTGTCTATACAAAATTGAAAACAAATTGAAAACTCAAAAACAGCAATGACATGCAATTACACACACTTCTTTTCTTCAAAGCGGTACGAAATCAAACAAGAACCTACTGTAAAATCAAAAACCACCAAATCAGTACTWAACATTAAATGCAATAATTTTGCTGTTCAGTTACTCTTATCTAAAATCTATTATAATTTTATGAAGCTGCTTAATCTGTCCAGAAGACTAGGGAAACAATCAGAGCCAACCAAAGTGAACATTGTCAAGAATGTGTAAAGGAAGGCAAAAGAAAAGCCAAACTTAAAGAGTATTGACTAGCGATCCAGAAAATTTAATCCTGTTAGAYAGTCTAAAAACCTATCCATAAAATAAAAATTTTGTCTTTTAAGTTATAAATTCATAATCTCCATTACCAAGTGAAAACTTTAATTTACAGCCAGAGCAACATGTGAAAAACTGAAACCATGAAATTAGGTAYGCTTATGCTGCCGTTTTTTAGAAGAAAAGAATCCAGCAAAAATGTCAGTGGAATGAAAGGGACCTATAATGAGAAAAGTGTCTGCCACTATTGAAAGCAAATATATTTAGACTGATKCACATGATCTTTCAACTTCATTCTCCATATGATTCAAAACGGACACTTAAAAATACCATATTAAACTTTCACTAATCCTACCTGATTCACATTTGGCAGCCAAAAGAATGTATGAAATAGTCCAAAAKAGAAACATTATATCATCTTGTAAGCTGAACTCTCAATGAAACTAGAAATAGAAACATCAGCCTTTCATTTTGCTTCAGTAAAGTGCACAGGGGCAAGTGCAAATAGTTTTGTAATTTTTTTAATTGTCAGCACTAGAAAAAGGTTAAGAGTACAGGTAACCATGACTATGAATTCCTGATCACAGGACTTCATACAGGCATTTGACAAATGAACAAATAAAAGTTAGTATTCTCTGCCATGCAAGATAGGATAGGAGTGGATAAAGAAATTCTATTCCATAAATGAAAGCTGTTAGTTCAGGATACAGAGACATGAACAAACRCAACAATTTATATGGACACAGTGAGGTCAAGCAATGAAAGCATTAGTATCTTGTACAGATGGTTTAGGTTTGTCATGTTCTCTGAATTTAAAAATCCAGGCTTGGATTTTTAGGTGTACCTGTGAAAGAAATTCATTTATRCATTACCTTACCCCTTTCTGAAGAAACAGTTAAGGACAATTAGTAAAGACGTTAAGAACTGAGCCCAAATTAGGAGTTAATACTAAAATACTGAATTTTAACAGAAATGTTCTGCATTCATTGTAATAGCGATGATTCATAAGATATCACATGTTCAGAAAATTGCTATAGTAGTAGAGCACATCTCTGCAGTGTCACTCTTCAAACAAGTGTAAGCTTTTATTAGATGTGCAATTCACTGCTTTACAAGTACATACAAGGGTAGAACTTCAAAGTAAGAACCTGCATCTTATTTCTAAAATCTCAGACTTCCTTGGTGATAGTAAAATCCCAGATAACGATTACCCAGTCAGATTTACTGAAGGGTAGGATTCTTCTCCAACACAGTATTAAAAATTACCTCTGAGATACCTCAACCTTGACACAGCTGGGCAATGCAACAGCAAGATTAATCTGAAGCTGACAGATCACACAAGCGCATATGATTAAATTACCTCAAGCATCTTTKCCCTGAAATATTCTGTAATACAGAAAAAAATTGCATAAAACCAAAAAGATGCAATTTTAAGGAAGATTTTTTTTCATAAATCAATGCAAGAAAAATATGCTGTAGACTGCACACATAGCCACAGAAGTGCTGGCCACAAAGCCCTCCAAAGAAGTCATGTCCTGTTTCCCATTTGAAATTAAACTATTGCCCATACCAGGTAACATAAACCACAGCTCTCCCCCAGCCAAGTCTTGAATATCTCTCAGGAGAGGGATTTCACTCACTGTTTCTCTAAGCAAGTTGTTTCAGTATCACCTACTACATAACTYTCTCCCCCACCTGAACCTCCCAAGCCATAATTTGCTGTTGTTTTCTCTTGGTTTAATGCCTGGCACTATGGAGAAGMTTGGCTGTGTGATCGTTATAGGCACCCTTCCAATATTTGCAGGCTGCTGCTCAAGCACTCCTCAGCCTCCTAACAGCTGAACAGGAGCAGCTCCTGTAACATCTACTTATCAGTCACAAGCTACTGCATTCTCCTCAATTTCTCTACAACCCTCTTGAAGTGGCCCAAAACTGCATACAGCCCATGTAAAAGGGACATAAATGTCCCTCGATCCTCTGGCCATGCAACTCCTAATTTTGCTCACTCACTGAGGTTAGACACACCCAGCTGTACCACTATCACTAACTACATTCACTTTTAACTATTTGCATGACATGGCAGGCAAATGAGAGGTGAAGGGCTTGCAGAGAGCTTGAATGCTCCTGTGTATGGGAAGAACAGCTTTGCCAAGTAAAAACTTGTGACATCCTCTGGCAGCATGGTTTTAACAGGAGAAAGTTTTCTGCTGAGTCTACACACAAGTAACTTGCATCTGTCTTCAACAAGACAGAAGAACGCTGAGTTACCATTAATAACCACTTACATCGTAAGTCAGCGAATCTGCCTCATTTGCTACAGTAAGGCCTGCCAGTTCTCCAAGACCCAGCTCATTTTCAAGGGCTTCATCTGTTCCCATAATGAAAGATTTCCCTGAGGACGGAGGGAATGTTAAAGCTTCCACTGCAAGAAAACAAAACAAAACAAAACAAATCCTGAAACAAGGGTTTATACAACATTGTATAATAAAACCATATTTTCCACTTTCAGAATGCTATGTATCTCTTAAGTAGCTGAGGGCAAAAAGATACACAGAAATGCATATAAAAATAACTATTGTAAAGATAATCACTGTACTTAAAATAAACAGCCCTTCTGAACACACCTACGCTTGAGGTGTGCACCACTCCAGACAGTAAATGCAACCAGTCACAGCAACSAAGAAGGGTACATTACCATTCACCCACATACAATATACAAGCAACACAGAAAACAYCTTCCCCAACTCAGCTACAAAGTATGCAAATAGGTGTTGACGAAGCAACAAAAATGTAGATAAGAATAGCTGGTGGGAGCTGCCCAAATAAAAGCTCTTCAAACACTACTGTTTGCTTAGGTCTCTTAGTTATTACCTTTTCATCATAAACATCTCTTACTTTTCCTCCCCAAATTCTACACTACAGTTCGCTTTTCCTGTAATGCAATAATGCAATGTTYCACTCAACACACAATGCACACAGGAAATTAAATATGAAAACTTAATAGAATAAAGAAAGCATGCCCAAAATATCATGATGTYTCAGCTTCATAAAGAAACATATACAGCTATTAGTTTGAAATACTAAACTCAGACTGATAATCAGCTGTTCTCTTTTGTGAGAGCCCATTTGAGTCTCTGAAATAAAAAACACATTACTGAAAGCACATGAAAATAGAACTCTGCTAATATAGTTCTCAGTACATGTGAGAAAAGTTGGAAAGGAAACATTCAACAAAAAATTCTTYCATTTCTCAAAGCGTTGCTAAGTTACCCTCTTCTTTCATAAAGAAAATCACTGAGCATGAAGGAAGCAGAACTATTGAGATCTTTGGTAACCATTCCAACACCAGGGCTTTTTATGCATCTTAATTATAACTTGGCCGACCTACTTTTCCACACTCACTGGAAGACTGCTAAGCAGAACTCATGTTTTGCGCATTTTTCAAAACACATATTTACCATTTTAATAGAGCACACGATATCACAGAATCATAGAATGGTTTGGTTTGGAAAGGACCTTAGAGAGTAGCATGCTGCAACCCCCTACTATGGGCAGGTACACCTTYCACTAGGTGGGGTTGTTTAAAGCACCATCCAATTTGGCACTGAACATTTCCAGGGAGGGTGTATGCACAGCTTCTCTGGACAACCTGTTCAGTGTTTCACCACACTCACAGTTAAGAATTTCTTCCTAATATCTAATCTACACTTACCCTCTTTTCAGTCTGAAACCAATCTCTCTTGTCCTGTTACTACATGCCCATGTAAAAAGCCCCCTCTCCAGTTCTATTGCTCCCTTTAGGTCCTSGAAGGCTGCTATCTTTGACAAATTAATACAGCTTCATATACCATATGTTACTATATTATCTATATGATCTATATTATAGCAATTCAAATATTGAATCAAATACATGATTTATCATTTTTCAGACATAACAGTAGTGCTTCATTACAAAGATGCACGCATGGCCTTCCATACTTGGACTAGCCACTCAGAGAATTTTGTTTAATTTTTGGAACATATTATGAAAATTARTACACTGGCAAGCTGCAAGTTGTTCTGCATGATTCACAACCACCACATGATTTTAAAAGCTACAGTAAGGCATCTGTGTTTACCTGCAGACCCTCTATCTTTGCACTTGGAAGAAAAGGACACACTTGTGTGTGTGTATGTATACAAACATACTTTTAAAATTATTTTAATAGGAAGAAAAAAAGATGCTCTTTTGTCCTCAGAGTTTACATTCCACACTTGTCTGCCAGGCTTGACCACAAACAAAAGCAAGTGATTTAGGATTGTCATATTACAAAGCCACTAAGTGCTAAATTATGTGTTTTCCATCGTGCTCAAAGGTATTCAGCCAAGACTTGAACTTAGGTAGGTGTCTTGACCTTACTAATAGTGACCATAATGGAAGAATCAAAATGTCATTTATCACACTTAGACAGAACTTACAATACTGAATCAGAATTTGTAAAGTGCCTGGAAAGTCGTAGAGGATAATCTTTTAAGAAGTAACTATAAACAGCCACTCTCTACCAAGGTGTATGCACTTTGTAAATATTTACCTTCATCCGTCCTGTTTATCTCATGTTCAATGAGCCTTGAGCTACTGGGCCTAGAAGAAGGTGCAACAGATGGCTGTAATGAAGGGAGATCATCAACATCTCTCAAGTTTGCAAGCATATCTTGCAGCTTTGACCTGTTGGGCCCTAACCAGAAAAAAACAAAAAATTAAAGGGTTTAGGCATAGTTCACGATGGCACTACTTACATCAGATATGCTACAGCAGCACATGCAACAATGGATCCTACCTTGCATTATGACATTACCACAGAAAAACTAATGAGCACTTATTTCAGCAGTAACTAATCATCCAGCATGAAATGAATTTCGAGAGGAAAGTGATAGAAGCAACTGAGAATTGTGAATGCACAATTTTCCCCATATGTATGAACTCATAGTGCTACTTGTACGGGATGCTGAAGAATGCCGCCAACTGAGTTACACTTTACATTTTTAGATTATTAGAATATTTACTTCGCCAAAACAATAGCTGACATCTGTAAATATTTTAGAATTTGTGCATCAGATACTTTGTGCAGCATATTCTTATGACAACATTATAATTTAAATTTATTTGTGCAGTAGTGTAATATCGTGAACTATATAATCAAAAAGTTATATTAAAAAACAAATGCAACTGGATTCACTGGCCTACTTCCTGAAGCTACATATGGTGAAGACCCATGCCCTTCTTGACACTTACCTGTGCTTTGCTCCATCATTTTCCCACATCCCTGTTTTGACTGTTTTATATAGGATTGAGGCTGAAACATATCTTCGGTAGTTTTTCCTGTTGTAAGTTTAATTAAGAATGGGAAAATGTCTTACCCATAGTCCATTATGTTTTTTCCTAGACCAGTAAATAATACAGCTATTTTTAAGCAGCTTTAACACAGCAGTGTACTCTAATATATGTATTCTCTCATAAAACCATTCTATGATTCTATTCTCTTATTACTTCACAGGAATGTTTACTACAGCCTTGCAAAATCATGAGTTTACTAATGCAGTTGCAAACTCTACTTTCTCCACCCTAACCATAATGACTGATAATAAACTAAATTGTATTTAACTTGTCTGTCATCAAAACATTACTCAATCCAGAAAAACACTAAAGATTTTGCAAGATTGTTTTACTATAATATCTGCTTTATAACAGTATTTTAATTAGTAGCAGTTCAGTGGCTAAGCACCATATATGATGAAATTGAAGTCAAAGAAACAAACTTYGTAAAATTAAATGTTATTTAGTCCCTTCTTTTTTCTCCAGACAGCCTCCCTCACATTCTTCTTCATTACGTGCAATATCATGAATAGCTGAAAACAGGCCCTGATTCTTCCTAATTTTTCTGCATTGATGCCCTTCCAATGATGGTTTGTCCATGGAAAGATGCTTACTTTCACTGCTACAATAAACCACTTTGTCTCCCAAGATCAAACCAATCAAATCAATCCAAAAGGTATAGAGCACCAGTTATTTTCATGAAGGAGCACTGGACGTCCAAGTGCTGCCTTTACATCATGATTTTTATCACAAAGGCATAAAACATAATTCAGTATGTCTATGTCTATATTAACAATTATTTTTTATCATCAAAAATAAAAAGACAAAAGCTGTCCAAGAATAGAATTTCAACACTTGAATTAAATAATTTCTGCTAATCTAACTCTACAGCTATTTACAYTGGACTACATAACATGTCTGTATATTTTAAAATAACAGACAAGTTACAAAAATCACTTTCACTGTAATTATATACTGGCATGCCCTATCTATCTTACCCAYAAGGAAATTCAGAGTCAATTTTTTTAAACATGAAAACTTTAGTTAGCCAGCTCAGCTTCTTTTCAGACTTGTAATTAACTTCTAGTAAATTAGGTGATTCCAAAATGACAAAAATATCAGTTGAGAAATTTAAAGCATGGTAATTATTTGCCATTTTTTAATTTGGAAAAAAAGAGAGGTTTTGTTTTTTTATTTGATAACATAATTTCAGCCACATAACAACTGCTGAGCAGCAGCTGTCAAGAGTATCAATACAAAAAGTAATAAAACAAGTCAGCCTCAATGATGCCAGGATCTGACATATTTGCATTATTATGCACATCTCTTTGGAAGTGAGAATTTCCTTGGTATTCATAAGCATCTTCCCACAAAGGGAGAAACATCCCTGAAATTTCTTACCAGGCTACATGCAATATTATTAATATACATCTTTCACACATGAATTCTCAATATGGCTAGGTACTTGAAACACAGCCATGGATACAGTGTTTCATTTTAAACTCTCCCAATTCAAGAAGTTTTAAGGCTTACCTATCAAAAATCATTGATTTCACAAAACATATCTATTTCAAGAAATATAACAAAAAAAAAATTACAGGGCTAGAAACTGTATTTCAGATACTGTTCACAGTTTTTTGTTTGGATAACAATACCCAACTTTTTTAAAGGCTAATCCCAGAGATATGAAAGTTAATAAATAAATCCTGTGATTTACAAATAAACTGATGGTCATAGTTGCTTCCTATTTCGAGCCCTGCATAACAAATTATGATGACAGCATGACTTTCATGTTGTGAATGTCAAGTATAAACAGGGGTAGAAATTAACCTGTTTTCTCCCACTGTCATCTAACAGGATACTCAAGAGTTTCCAGTTTCTTTCTTTATTTATATACCAGACTTTAACTCTTCCTGTGAAACTGGTATGTTTCCAGCTAAGAAAGGGTTCTGAAGTCTGAACTATATTAAAGTGTGAAGTATCAAACCAATGCCTTTTACAATTTAAATATCTGAATAACGAAAGTACAAAACATGCTCAAAGCAAGAATTTTTACCTAACCCAACCCTTGGTTGGAAAAAGTTATTTCTAATCCAACTATTTATTGGGTAACTTAATTGTCTGTCATTAATTTCAACCCCTGAGAACTGGTGAACAGGAAAGCAGTCAGGAGCAGCAAAGTAAAAGAGTAAGTAATTTTAGGAAAACATTGAAAGAGAGATAGAATTAAGGGTGTGAAAGATGTGAGATTTATGATTTTAAGGTGCAATGTTTTCCACTTACTCTTCACCCCCTTTTTCCCCTTGCGCTCCTTTTTGTATTGTTCCTTGAGTTTGGTTATAACTCCCTGGTCGACATTCCAGGCTTCAGGCATGAGACACTGGTCTTCCTTTTCTAAACAAAGTGAAACAAATGAAACATCCTTTTTCAATAATGTCACCAAGTGATCTCCACTGAAGGAGGCAACAGCTGCTGTCAATGGCATTTGTCTTTTATTTAAAACAGACAGAAATAGCACCAAGCTTGTGAAAGCTGTAAAACTGCTACTCACATTCCATTTCTATTTGCTCAGAATTTTCTTAATAAAAAATTGAGATGAAATTTCACGTATTTAATTCCTATAACCAAGCACACAGCTGTCCATAAATGTAAATGGYATTTACTTTACAATAAATCAGGACATATTTTTCAGTTTTTTCTTTCCTACAGGGAAAGAATTATATCTAGAACAAACAGCCATGTTACTCATCAACATAACTTTACAACTCAGACGTTGCATTACTGCATTTCAAATTTTCATTTTATTGTCTTTGTGCTATGTTGTCATTTACACAAAGCAGTAGCACATTTAAATCATTTTGAAACACAGTATTCATATCATCACGGTTTAAATAAACTCTTAGAGCACTAAAGCCATGACATTTCACAAAAAGGTGAATGCCTGAGAGAGTAATCCTTGGAAAAAAGTCTAAAACATTTCAGCATGCCTAATGAAAAAAAAAAAAAAAACCAAAAAAACCAGTTTTTGGTTTGGTTCAGTTTTTCCTAAACATCTCCCTCAAATTGCTTCCTCTGTGACATGATACAGAAAAAGAAGTATCCTTCCTATTGTACAGTACTTGAAGATTTTTAGCAAAACATGTTACGTGAGMTCATATCTCCCAAGTAATTTTTTCCATGTATGGGTATTATCCTGAGGCAGCTTAGAAAAATAATTTGAGAGGAGGGGGTAGGCAATACAGCTTTTCCTCATATATATTTATTTTCATGACCATTACATCTCCAATATTTTTGAAATGCATTCTCTTTTTGCCTTGTTTTCTCATTAAAATCTCCACCTTATTATGTAAGACTACTTGCTTTCAGACCAAGTTTGCTTTCTACATCAATAAGGTATTCTAGACCTTCTAAAATATGAACAATAATAAAATTATCCTCAGACTAAACTGCAGAACTTAAATGTCAGTAGAGGAAGCACAACACTATCAATCACATTCTGAAGGAGTCATTATGATTGGACAGAAGAGAAAAACCACACATGGGTTATTAATGTGACTGACTTGTTAAAAATGAATAATGCTGAAAAAGACCTAGGGATCCTCCACCAATATCAAATTCAACAGGATTCAGCAACATACTCTTGCAGCAAAAGCAACCAACAATATCCCGGGCTGTATTAAYAAGAATGTAACCAAGAGGGTGAGGGAAGTGACTGTTCCCTGTGTTGGGCACTTGTGAGACCACACTTCTGAGTACTGTATCAGTCTAATATTTTAAAACTGAGAAACCTTTTAGGTACAGCGCTAAGTACCTACTATTGGTGTGGTGTAGCAAGTCTTAAGGGAACCACTAAGATGGTTCAGGCAGCTGGAGCATATGAGCTTCAAGGAGGGGCTGAGACTACTGTGAGTGTTCAGGGATGGCAAAAAAAGGCATCTTAGTGTGGYCTGTAACCACCTAATGTACAAATTTTGAGAAAACAGAGCCTGACTCTGCTCAGATTTGCCTAACAGAGGGAGAAGATGCTTTCTGAGGTGATCTCTCACTCCTTTGAACCCTTCAGTCACRATCCTATGTATACTCATGGAATGASAGATTAACTCAAGACAAGGYTCAGCAGCATAMAYCTTTTAAGAAAAGCTATGAAAGTAAGTATTAGYTGAACAGAGACTCTAAAATAGATTGTCTATGGACTAAGACATGTCTTCTTAAGGCATATGACTCAATTACCACTAATGAGTAAAAACTGCATAGAGAATTCAAAAAAGATATGAGAAAATCATATTTCAGAGAAACAAGTATCTTGTCTTTCTGGGGTTAGGTTAAAAGCTTTAATCATGCTTTTCCTCCCTGGCTGGACAAGATTTTTTCCTTCCTCCAGCAAAAAAAAAATTAAAATAGATTTTTATTAGACTGTGCCATTGCCAGGAAAACACTCAATATATTAATTTTCTACAGACTGTCCCAGCATACTTCCCGCATGTCCCACAGATACTGTTCAACTTCAGAAGTGAATCCTGAACTACGCCTATTCAAGTGCTTTATAGTTTAAAAACTACCAGAAAACATCTGAGGACCTTTCAAGCCAAATGGGTTCAACAGATTACTGTAACTGAGCAGTAATACTTGGAATYCAAAATGAAGAAAGAATTTCCTCTGTGCGCTGCCATCCCTCACTACACAACATCCCTCTACTGTACTACATTTAACAGTTCCACTTAAATTCATTGAATCATTTATAATGGCAGCTCCTTGAAGAAGCTTAGTCTTATATACAGTTACCATAAAAGWCACAGATTGTGAAACAAGTAATTGAAAAACCATTAATACCTCCACAAAAAAATCCCCTCTCATTTCTAGAAATGAAACTACTACTTTTCATAACAGTTTATTTTTAACGCTAAACTTCTGCTCACTTGTACTTGCCATCATCAATGAAAGCAAAAATAAACCAGAAGTGTGAATTTGAGAACAAAAAGCTCCTGTCAGCTTATTGCCTTTTTGGTGACACAAGCCATAGCTACACTGACCAAGCATAAATGGATAAAACTTTAATATTAAAGAGAAATATCAGAAAAGATTTTTTTTGTAAAAAAGAATAGCATTTCTAAATTTGTTCAGTGAATAGAATGCTGACTGCTCTATCTAATAATATTACAACACATCCCCTTAAGCAGACACTACACCACATTGAGCAGAAACTTGGGAGTCCAACCAGGAGCTGGACACAGCTTCAGTGAAACACAGAGTCTTGGAGCTGAAAGATCGCATGGAGCCACAGCTACCATGGCTTATCAGTCTGTCACAGTTGCAGCTCCATTATAAAGCTCAATCATTTCCCATCATCTTCAACAGTTCCYTCTGTGTCTACTTATCCTTAAGACTTTCCAGAGCAGCTTAAGYATGAAACAACTTCCCATCAAGGTATTTAACCAGTTCTCCKCTTTCTCCYCTTCTCTACACCAAGGGTTTAGGCAGAATAATGTCAAGGTAAAGTGGATAGTGGCATCCTGGGTTGCAGGACATGAACCTCAAAGGACAGAGAGCAGTTTGTGAATATCTCTCTGTGGCTAGTGGACTTAAAATTATATTATTCTGCTAAATTATAAAAGAAAGTTTGAGCACTGAAGAGTTCATAATATTTAAATTACTAACCACAATAAGAGTATAACTAATTTGGATTTTATGACTCCCATTACTCTCTGCATCGAAGTGGGAGAAAGCAAAGATGACACAATAACTCTCATATCATAAATGTAAAATACAGCTTTATCAGAGCTATTCATGAGCATGGGTCATTGGAAAAACAAAATGAAATACCACTCATAAAATTTAAATTCTATCTGCCTTAGAATTAAAGAAAAGCAAAAATGACTGAGGCRGAAACCTTGAAGAATCCTTATTCTAAAGCAGCATACAGAAAAAACCAGAATATTATATCAAGAGGACTTCTGCCAATTATTTACTACAGAAATAATCAAAATTGATTGAGATCTCTGTCACGATCACAGCAAATCAACTGATCAATCACAATATATTCTTAGCACATTTTGGTTTTCTCCTGGTAYGATCCATCAGATTTCCTTACCCCAGTCTGTTCCATCTCCCGAACTTCTCGATTCCCCATCACCATCATCTGAGGTAACCAAAAAGTCAAACTCTTTCAAAGCTTCTTCTGTATCTCTGTCTTCACTGCTGTCAGACAGCACTCTTTTCCTTACAATCTGAAAGGTCAGAAAGGACAGAAAAAAAAGCTGAATTAAGTTATACACACATCTTTAATCTGAGCAGTACTACCTCATCCTCTTTGCAAAATCCAAACAGGAAGTTGAAGAGGARGCAGAAAAGTACACATTAATAAGCAAATCTGGAATAGTATGCAGACTTYGTTCAAACTTCCACATGAAAATGAAACTTGTGTGCAGCGCTTTCTTCCTGTGACCATCAATAACCAATCACTTGGATACCAAACCTAGACTGATCTAGACCACTATCTTTCTTTTAATACTAGAATGTACAAACTTTCTCTTAAAACSTTTTTGAAAAACACACAAAACCTACAAACAAAAAAAACAAGAATGCTGTAGAACACTTCAGCAAAACCAAACTCGCTTCTCTGAAAATGCCCTTCAATTCTGAAATCRTTCTATATGTGGAACAAGACACAAATTTAGGAAACAAATAAACCAACCTCAAAACCCACAACTCTCAAGATCTAATTTAGCTAGATTTAGCAAATCATTCCACCCTGAATGCTTTCTCAGATCTTACTGCTATTTAAACATGTTGCTTTCATGCTTAAACTGCATTTCCCTCTCAGAATCAAAAGCAAACTCTGGTAAAGAAAAAAATACATGTTTTATCGAAGAATCTCACTGTAAGTTTTTCACAAAAAATTTACTTTTCCTTCAATAAGAAAAACGAACTAGATTCTTTGCAGTTATTTGACCAACAGGTAAACTGATGCCATGATACATGAAAACTGTAGCATAAGTTTCTATTTCTACAGAAATAGAAAAATTACATTTATCACAATGTTTTGACTTGGAACCTTGCTAAGGGTCAGTCTGAAAAGACTTCAGTACATATGCAAACATCCCACAGCTCATGAGGATGACTGACTCTGTCCTCTAAATACAGTGAACCAATTTCTAAACCTGAAGCAATTCTAAACTTCAAGCTTCATTTCTTCAGCAGGCTTAGTGAACATACTGTATTATGCAGGATCTAACAGAAGAGTCCCAGACGTTAGTTCACCATCCACGAATGACGGGAACAAATTTTAAAAGATCCCCTTTAAAAGTGCATTAAACGAATCCGTTTTTTAGTCTTTATTCTTAAAACTGACCATAAAAACAATCACATCCATCATCTCTTATCTGTTTCAACTGTTAGGAAACATAAATCACTTCTCTTTAATAACTTTAATTTTAAAGAATACTGACTTSCATGTATCTATGTGGTCATATGACCAAATCATATAGCAAAGTATAGATCACAAGGGAGGTTAAGGCATTTGACTGAATAAACAAACAAAAAAGTTTAACTACATTAGAGTTCTTCCAGTTACACTTCTTCTTCCACAAGCTATAAAGGTTAAGTGTATTCGAGTACTCTAAGACAAATTTTTACAAGTCATTTTAATATTAACAGTTTTTTAATAAATATTCAAGAATCATTTTTGACATGCAACATTATAAACAATACCTTCAAACTAAGCTGAAAACTGTAAAAAAGACATCTGAARCCTTAAAAATTGTGTTCAGTACATATCAAAAATACTAGTCAGTATGGAATAGTAAAGAGACAATTTTAGAAAAAAATTATTCTAACTTGCAATGAAGATGGCAAAGTTTAAYTTGTATTCACAAACTCAGTAATGCATATGTAATTCCTCTTATGCACACATGCTTGGACAGAACATCATAAAGATGCATTAATGATTTGCATGTGTACATACACAGTCATTGCTTTGCTTATAGGCACCTCATTAATCTCMCTTTTTCTGTTCTTCATAACTTTTTCAATTATTTTTTCCACTCACTGTTGCAGTATCAATGATTGTTTTCTCTCTTCCTTCAATATCTTCTTCATCTTCTTCATCGCTRAAGTCTGCAGCTGCATTTTCAAGAAACTTGAAGGTCTCTAGCAGAGAGGCAGAGTCAGTCAAGTCAGGTTTCCTAAACAACAACAATCACCATCATGAGACAAAAGAAATCACAATGAAGTCACTTTTCCAATTACCAGTCTGTTCTGTATTATTAGGTCCAACAACACATAAGACTAAAACAAGCCTACAAGTAAAAATGGAATATTAACAGGTAAAAATTCTTGTGGCTAAAGAGCAAAAAAATATACATATAATGTATTATTAGAACCAGCAAAACTATCTTATTAGAACCAACAATTATTCTTCATATATGGCTGCCATTACCAGGACAGACACTTCAATTTTTTATTCRAAAAGCATTTGAAAGCAACATTCATCTGAAGTTGCCCAAAAGCAACATCAATACTGCTATGCCATGACAGAAAGCGTCAGCAACAAGGACAWGAGTTACAGCTACCAAGCCAGGTTTCCACGTGTACATCAGGGTACAGAAAGTATTTGCTCCTGCCAGCTGGTGCTCCTCATCTTGCTGGGAAACACCAAACTCTGGATCTATCATTCATTGTTTTTAAGACATGATATGCCACCATAAGACTATAACAGGAAAACATGACTGATGACTAAATAATATTTATATTTACATTAAACAAATAGGGAAATGGATGACAATTGGGTAAAATTATGACTGTGCTGGCAGAAATTTAGGCAGTGCCTCAGAATAGGAAGCATAAGGGTTCTTATATTAACAACTAAAGTGGAAAAATGCAAGAAACAGGACTGTAACAATTATTAAAACTCTGACAAGAGTAAAAATAAAGCAGTCCTAAAATTATCTGTGTTCTTGTTTTCTACACAGAAGATGCACTTCTCCATCAACTCCTATAACATAGTGGTGAACAAAATTTATTCATTTTGAACTGCTACAATTACTTCTTTCTAAAACCTTTAGATGTTTTTTTACTTCTAGTATTTCTAGATTTTTTACGTTCTTTAGATAGCCATATAGCAGTGAAGACAAGCTTTACTGTTTTCTTACCTTTAATCAGTAGTCCGTTTTTCATAGTTCATCAATAAATGCACATCATCTTGATTCTCAGAACCACTGAAACACCAGAAGTCTCTCCCTCTCTCTTTTCAAAACTGTMCCTCTGAATTGCCTTGTGCAGTCACCCTTATTGCCAGCAAGTGCCTTGCTTCTGCTGTGACCCCTTTGAAAAGGTTCACTCAACTAACACATGTATGCAGTAAGGCCTTGTAAACTGCAAACACCTGATCATCTGTCCATCACCCAYTTATTCCAGCGTTYCATTRTAACACTTTCCAAAGGTCTGTTCCAGAAAGCATCCAAGGGCAAAAGCTTTGATGTGTAATAAGGCATGAGAAGCAGGACACTTCCTTCTTTGCAGTCTCTGCTGAAGCAGTTCTATGCCTACATGACACAATTAGCAGGAATGGCTTCTTCATAGCCCCAGTATACCTGCATTTCATTAAGACAATTTGCTACTCTCCTTTTTTTCACTTACTCACCTTTTTGGCCCCMAAAAAACTATACAGACATCACTTGCCATTAGAAATTCTGCATACACAGCAGTATAATACACCATAATGTACAGTATGTTTTCCTGGACACTTGTTTTTCTGAGATTATTTTTTCTACTTTTCCAGATCTTAACTTAGATAAGAGCAATATTAAACATGTTCCCAGTTTGACCTGTTTTCTGCAGTATTTGACCCTTGTTTCTATGACAAACCTGAAAAGACTATGTAATATTTTTATTTTTCCTTAAGGAATCACTACTTTGGCAGACTATAACACCTCATGAATMTACAGTAATATACATTTTCACAGAAATCCTACAGTACTGTTGGCTTGCTGTTTCCGACAGAAAAATCTTGATAAGAAAATCTGTAATGTTTTATTTAACTAACTTGTTGACTTTCAGCAAATTCTGAGAGTCCTCGTCTGCTTTTACTTGACTAAATCATCCAGCCACAACTGTTTTTGTTTTTTTCAGAGGTATTTTGCCATGCGAAAAACTGTCATGTAAAAACACTATGGCTGATGATCTATAAAGGCAATCAGACTATTGCTATACTCCACTAAACAGCAATGTATGAACTAATACCAAACATGGAATATAAAATTTTAATTAACAGAACTTGTTATTAAGAAATAGATATCCTGCAGATATTCTACAGATCCAAGTATTTGCWGTATTTCATATGCAGACTTGCCTCTGTACTCATTTGCTCTTAAACCCGGATCTCACACACTCAAAGTTCAAAGTGACTACCAAAACAGGTTACATCTTTTTTTGATTAACTGCTCTGATTTCAACTATCCTATTAACTATTATACATTTTAGTGGAAAGGATAAATATATATACATAATCATATATATCTGCAATTACACGGGGTAAATGGCATCTCAAGCATTGGGAAACATGGTAGCTTATTTATCATGTATTTCAAAACTCCTSCACAGTACAAAAAATGTATAGTCAGCATTGTACCACAGAAGATTTTTTTGTGCTAAGACACAAATTCCAAGAAAGAATTCTTAAGAGCCAAWAAAAAAAACAACCCAGAAGTGACAGAATTATTTAAACTATTCAAAATGTTCTACAGAAAGAAAGTTTCAAGCTGACAGGCTGCTATACTATACCTCAATAAACCAGCAGTTGAATCAAAAGTAATTTAATAATTCAGCTATTTTTCATCCTTTAACAGCATACAAGCATAATGCATTTTGGATAATACTGTCAGCATCAACACTTAGGAATAACATAAAATGCACTAAAGAAAAATGTCTGGCCTTAGCTAATTTATGCTATGTACTTTGATGGCAATTCAAAGCCTGCTTGTTTCRTTAGCTTTCCAACTGGTTAGTTTGTTTCTCTTAGGGGGTCATTCACCAAACAATATAAAAAAGCAGAAGCATCAAAAAAATATTCCAAGAGAGGGTAGTAAAACAAGTATCTTTAAATTCCATTTTAGAAAAGAAACACAGCTTGACATTTCCAGTTTTTTTTGCAGCTCAGAGTATTTTTTTAAAATCAATGGGTGAAAACAATAGAAACAAGCTCCAAAAGTGGGGACTGATACAAACTGTGGTATTACAAGCATGAGTGAGGCTAGACTAATGCAAGGTTCAGGGCCTTCCGCAAACAGAGACCAATGACCTTAAGAGGTCTCAAAAAGACAATTCCTATTTTCTGGACTGTTGATATGTTGTGGGTTAAAATTCTTTTAACCCACAACATAATATCACACCATATGTAAGGGAGAACACAATTTTCAAAGTGCCAAAACTTAGGTGTGGCTTTTTTTTCCTGCCCAATCATAGTATCTAAAGATAGATATTCTTCTCAGCTGGGGAAGAATAAACCAGAAACCCCAGACAGCAGGAGAAGCTACAGCACCTGCCAAAGCAGAGAGCACGGAGCAGCCAGACTGTGGCAGAGTGTCCTCAACCCTGTGCTCCTCAGCTGTTTGCTCTTCATCTCCCACTGCTCCTTCCTCAGTTGTACTCTGCAACAGCACTCTTGCATGGTTTTCTTTCCAGCAGCTATCTTTGCCTCCCTTCCTTGAGGTCTCATCCTAGTTGACTCAGCACTTCCTAACCAGTCAATCCAACTAAAATAATTTAACCAATATCACATCTTCTATCAGACACTGTTAACTCTGTCCATTACATCCTTCTTTCCAGTAGCCTTATCCAGATAGACAGGAAATTCTTTGGGGCAGAGAGATTACCCTGTGACTCCTGCCTGCACTCAATTAGGTACAACAGGACTAACTGCTTCTCATGAACATAACAATAAGTACTTCCAGAAGGTAAGTATAGCTAGAGTAATGCTGCTGGGGTTTCCATCTTACAACAACAGATGGGCAATGCACAGATTTTGTGAATATCACTCATGAAACAGGGAACTTCTGACTCCCAAAGATGAATCTTTTCTGTTTAAAACACAAAATTCTTATTATGAATGGGATGGTAACTGAAGTACTTACCTCACTTAAAGCAACATAAAAATGCAATCATGTGAGTATATTYCTCATCAGGAGAAGCTGCCAGAATTTTGTGCAGCTGTGATGGCTATGAAAATCTGATCCCAATTTGTAKTTTACAGACCATTCAATTATTCGGATTTGTGTTAACCCCTTGGCCCCTTTAAGACTAAGAATTATAATGCCTTCCCATGAAATCTAAATAATATGACTTGTGGATATTCCACATGCACTATTTAAATAAAGCAAACAWCACTTTTGCTAGGGCTCTGCAGGCTATAATATCAACCCTTCATTTTCTGCCCAACAGTAACATGTCTCAAGACAAGTATAYTGTGTAAAAATCCTGTTGGGTCTGACACTGAAATATTAGCAGCTTTACAAAATATATAGCTGAGACTGAACGTACTTGCTTTCAACATTTAATATTCATGRTCTTACCGCAAATCCTGTTTCTTAGTGAGTGAAATGCAGAAGCCATAACTACAGGCAAGGTGAAGCTGTTTTGTGGAAACTAAACSAACACATTGATGATACCTTTCCTGCTCCCAGCACAATCCAGAACATTTCACRCTGCAAAGTCAAGTTTAACTTAGACTAAACTCATACTGCAGACATGCATTTTCTTTGTAACTAGCACAACCTATATTTCTATTATTACCTTCTCCTTTGTTGATAATGATGCTGTAAAGTCTGGGGTCATGTCCAAGGAGAGTCTCATACACTTCTCACATGAGCTGCCCAACCACAAGGCCACTAACTGCCTTGGTCCTACTCACAGCCTCAAAAGAAAAAGCAGAGGCCTTTCTTTGTTTGTTTATTTTATCCAAGACATACACAAGTCATCTTAAATGAAACCAGGATTTTATTGATAAATTCAGAAGCAGGAAGAAATACCACAATGAAGTTAAATAAATACAAGTTCAGCTTAGGCTGAGAAATGTTCCTGGGAGCTTGTACAGAAAAGAACCCGKTGTGACCCAGCATTCAGAGCTGTTCTACCATACTTTCTTAAGCCATTTTCTTTGGTTCAGTTTCCTACTACCATCAAAACAGCT